ACTTTTTCTCATCTGTCAGAGCAGTGCCCCAGCCACATTCTGAATAAACTATCCATTTGATGCATGCAGATAATTATGCATTATGAAAATCTTCTAAAGGCATGGGCATTGTTCCAAAGAAAATTTAAAATTATTTTTGCAACTTCAGGAACTATTAAAAAATATGTTGAGTAGATCCAATAGGGAAATGTGCCCTTTGCATCCCATAGTTACTTCTTTCCCACTCTGTGGCTGTATACCCTACACTGAGCTCTAGGGTCAATAAGCATGGAGCAAAACAGTGAGATTAATGACATCAACAGGTAGACATATTATTTGCATGTAAAACATGCTGCCTTGCAAAGGAAGCAGGCTGAATAGAACTTTTTTTTTTTTTAACATTGGATTTTTCAATGATTATCCAGATTTTGAGAGATTTTGACCTCTTTTGTTCTAAACACTAAATATATAAATAAAAAATTAGAGCACACCTCATTGACTCCTCCACCACCTGTGTCAAAAACTTATCATCAAGTCTCTGCAGGAACCTGCTGGACTGTGTGTGCCTAGCTGTGTTGTCTTTCCAGCAGAAAGGGTGGTATATTTCCATCAGGGTGGTTGAAGTCCTCCATGAGAACCAGGGTCTGTGATCGTGAGGTTACTTTCAGCTGTCTGTAGAAGGCCTCATCGACTTCCTCTTCCTGATCAGGTGGTCTGTAGTAAACATCCACAACAGTGTCACTCATATTAGCCTGACCCTTAAGTCTTACCCATGAGCTCTCAACTCATTCTTCATCCACCCCTCAGCAGACCTCGATACATTCCAGTTGCTCTCTCACATAAAGAGCAACTCCACCACCTTGCCTTGCTGGCCTGTCTTTCCTAAAAAGTACGTAGCCATTCATGACAACATTCCAGTCATGTGGGCAATCCCACCTTGTCTCTGTAATTGCAATGAGATCGTGGCCCTGCAACTGCACACAGATCTCTAATTCTTCCTGTTTATTCCCCATGCTGTGTGTGCTGGTGTACAGGCATGTCAGGGAGGTAACTGAGCATACATATTTCCCAGGAGGGGTGCAAAAGGATCCATCATAGCCATATACACCCTTGTATATGTACATATTGTTGACATTAACAGAACTATTTTGTTGGCATAAACAAATGCAGCTGGACTGCAATGGTCTCCAGGGCTCAGCTTCATCAGAAGAATCTTCATCATAAAGTTCATCTTAGCAAGACAACAGAGGATGCAGACCATCCTGGAAGGAAATGGAAAATGTCTATCAATTTATTTCAGAATAAATAATACAGGCTTATACCACAGAATGGCTTTTCATCTCTTTAATATTTCAACAGAAATAGAACACCACTGTCTCTCATACTTACATTTAGTATTGCTGAATAGAAAAAAATATATAAAACTTACAAAGTACACTTGCTATTCATAATAATAAAAAATTTAGATAATGTTTAATGACCTTTGCATCATTTTCAGCAGAAGTTTATGGGAGCTGATAAAGCAATGAACTAAAGTAGGTACTTACATTCATTCCCTTCATTTCAAAGTGACTGAAGCATCTTTTTTCAGATTTGCCATGCATTTATATGTCTGTTATATCAATACTCTAAAAATGAGCCATGACTGGCTGAAAATATGACAGTACACTCTTTTAAATATTAGTATCCAAGAAGGCTCACTAGTGACAGGGTTCACTGTAAAATGAAAACAAACAAAGCCTAAAATGAATATTCCAAAACTTTATTTCTCTCAAAATGTGGCTTATTTTTCTGTTTTGTACTTGCAGTTGAAATCAGATTTAGACAAGCAAGACGGCAACCTAAAATACATTTTGACTGGGGAGGGAGCTGGAAGCATTTTTATCATTGATGAAAATAATGGCAAAATTTACGTGACACAAAAACTGGATCGAGAGAAGAAACCCTTCTACACTCTAAGAGCACAAGCAATGAACAGGAGGACTGAGCTTCCTGTTGAACCTGAATCAGAATTTATTATCAAAGTTCGAGATGTCAATGATAATGAACCACAGTTCTTGGATGGACCTTATGTGGCCACTGTTCCAGAGATGTCACCTGAAGGTATGACATGCCATGAACAAAACTCTTTATTTCCTGATTTTTTCCTAGATAGCTATGTTGATATAAAATCTTAATAGCATATTTTATAGAGTGCCTTTCAGTGAGAAGGGAGCAAACTATTTTACAATCTTGGAAATTTGCAAAGGTATAGGTTGTGCATACCTCTACTTAACATCATTGCCTTTAAATATTTAGGTACCTACATGTATCCAAGTCCTTTTACAGAATCTGGATACATGCTTGGATTGACTATAGAGAGTTGTCTTTCCCATCAGTGATTCAGCCTTGAAATTGCTACTTGTTTACAAATATAACATTACCATTCAAAATAGGTAGAGTACCATAGACAGTTGATACTGCAAAGGAGATTTGGGGCTGACAGATGTCACTACTTTTTCAATCAGTATAGGACCCTAGTCTCTAGAAAATTGTTCAGTATATGATTATTGTTACAACCTGACAGCTTTTCAGCCTTCTACAAATCTGAAAGGAAAGTAGTAGGTACATAAACTTTAAAGTCCTCTGACTTCAGTTGACTCTTTTAAGGACATAAATATAAGCTTGGTTGAACTGAAAAGTACTCAAGAGCATCCTGAAGTCTACTCTGATTCTGCTTAATAATGAAACAATATGTCTTTATTATACCCTGTGTAGCAGAAATCGTATTGTACTGTAACTGGAAAAGAGTCACATTTACATCACAGGCATTCACCATTTCCCCTCCAAAGATAGGGATAGTTTCCTTCCTATATGTTCAGAACAAGAATGGTATAAAACTGATGTGGGGCTGATGTGATGACCACTCTCACACCATGCATGATGTCTACCTATTTACACTGCCAAGCCTCTTTCCTATCAGCCAGCTTCTCTTTGTTTGGATTAGATGGTGTGTAGTGAAGCACTGCGTTCTGATTTCCTAAGCACATGAATTGTAATTTTGCTATCAAGAGGAACAACTTAATCCCTGCACCTCTTCTTTCCCACTTCCACATGATCAAACAGACCTGTACTAGGATCTGTCATGTACCTGGAAACTTAATAAAACAAATACGAAGCAAAGTCAACATTGGACAAATATAGGTGTATATGTAAGTATATGTGTACATGTGCATATGCATACATAATGTGTATACACATACATTTAAATCCTTAAAAAAAAAAAGTGTGAATGCAGCTGACATAAACAAACATGTTATAGATACTGCTATCTCCAAATAACTATGTTAAAAATCAAAGGAAAACTGGATTCTTTAAAGCTTACAGAAAGAATCCCAGTCATCTTTTAAATTTGTACCCCTATCTCTTTTGGTTATTTCTATTGCAAATAATATTGAAAAGAAATTCAAATATTGTGCTACTTAAAACTGTATGAATTAATGAGGTCATTAAAGTAATAGCATCAGTGATCATAAAAGGTAATAAAAACTATGTTTCATTCAGCATTACCCATTCAACTTTTAGGGCAGATTCAGTGAATCTTTCACAGGGAGCTATAAAATTTATCCTCTTCTGCCAGCCTGGGTAGCAGTTGCAAGAAAAGGATATTCATGCCTGGGGTTTAATCAAAAGTGGGGTTAGTATCCTATTTTCTGCCAGGAAGCAGTAGCTCACCATCATTACCAGCACTAGCTACAAAAGACATCCATTTAATCAATTTATTTCCTAATCACCCTGCTTATACAACCTTCTACCAGGGAAATCACTTTTGGGGGTATGATTATTTCTTCACTGCCACTTTCTTCCATGCAGACAGACTTATTCGTCTCAAGAGTTCTGCTTCTGAGCTCTTGGTCAAATAACTTTTTCCTGACACAATCAGTTGCTTGTTCAGAGGGTATTTCTAGCCTTTGCATTTTGCTTGTTCATTCAAGTTTGGAGACAAGAAGACAGGTGCCTTGTCAAGGACCTTTGCATTTTTTTATGTGCTCACAGTAACAATGGGCATCGTTCATTGTTTAGAATTATCTGGGTATTTTTATCTGGGATTACACAGATTTAGGATTTTGACAATGCCCTTTTTTCTTTTCTTTTCTTTTCTTTTTTTTTTTTTTCTCTGTAGTAAAGTGTTGTTTATAAGGCATTTGGTCTCTTATAAAAGTGGTTTTAAAGTAGCTGATAATTTAGTATGGTTTGATGTATACTTACACAGACCTGTAACCATTCACAGAAGCATATCAAGAATTGACTTACAGATTACTTCTATTTTATCTTCCTGTCTTAGTGATGAGCTCCTGTCTTAATGATGGCTATATGGAAAAAAAAGAAAAAAGTTAGGTAGGGAGGTACTTATGGCCCAAAACAACAGTAGTAATCTTTCCCCGTATATTTCTGTTTCTCACCTGAAACCATCAACAAGCAGTTGACAGATCTATATTGACTTGAGTTGGCTATAAACTGATCCTGTAAAAATGAAAGGCTCAGCAGTCTTTATCAATAGATGACACAGTCTCCTGTGTCATCTATTATATATTTAAATTCCTAAAATACCTTTTCTCTTCAGCATAAGATTAATTAAACTGCAAAAAAACCTTAATTTATTTTGTGATATTCCTGTAAGATTATAAAAAAAGATTCCAGTAAAATGTAGAAACATATGAAAAAAACCAAACCAAAACAAAAAAACCCAGAAGTAACACCACCTCCCATTTGTCAGAATGGGTGAAAAATAAAACAAGATCCCTCCTTGCCTCCTATCTCAGACACAGACTACCTGAAATAGTAAACTCGCAGATTTGCAATCATCCAGTGTATGATATGTGAATCTAAGTCAGTCTTATGGATCTTGAAATATTTTCTACACTGCTTCTTCTACATTTTACCTCTCTAGCATTAATACCATAGCTATTTCAGAGGTCATTCTTTCACCTACTTCTTCCATGTAGACACTACTACACTACTGGCAAACTAATGCATATGTCTGGCATATAGAATGTAAGTGAAGTGTTATATAATAATATATACCTTAACAGTGGTCAGCTCCAATGGAAAAGCTGAACCACACCATGAGGACTTCTCTGGGCTCACTTACCCTGCTCCTCAAAGGGTAAAGACTGCAATTGTGAGATGAAACCTCTTTTAATGTGCATCCTAAAGCATCAATCCTTACAAGGACATTTCTAACCTCCCAGTAGATAGAAACAGTAACCAAGTAAAATTTGCAGCACTGATATCATAATAGTTCATTATGTCAGTGCTTTTCTCCCAGTAAAATAGAAAATCCTCTTGCATAGTAAGGGATGTAGACCAGAATTAGTTTAAATGATACAGTGCAATAGAGAGACTTGGCCTTTGCTCTATTTCAGAGCTCTCTAGCAGCAGTTCAGCTTACTGGTGCTAGACTTGGGATCTCCTAGTAATTTCCTCATAGAAAACATGCTCAGGAAGCGTGGTCAATACTTGGGAAAGCAGTTCACTGTTAGTGAACATTTTGTCTGAAACTAAGAAAGCAAGGAGAGAATTATTCACAGCTGGCCACTTGCCTCAGAGAACCACAGAAAAACAGAAAACAGGCACAGGTAATTTTGCCTAAAGTTAGGTAAAAATATCAATATATATATACTAATGTGCCAACAAATTAGAATACATTTTAATTCTTTCTTACCCTCTTTTATCTTTGATACTAAATTTTATAAGGATTTTATATGCAAGTGTCACAGCAAATGAAAAGTGTGTCAGCAAATGGACTCTTTTCTAGGAACACAGGGCTGTGCTTTTCCCTCAGGCATTTGGTACAATTTTACATTAAGTGTCTTCCATATATCTGTTAAACTTATACAAATGCAGTATATCTGATGGAATGGTTAAGAGTCAGATGCAATAATATACCAGTACTTAATGTTTTTATAGATTTCAAGCTCTAGTTAGAAAAATGAATAACTATTTGCCATATGAGGACCCTATAGTAGACTTAATGGGCTGCAATGTGTAAGTGGCACTGCTATGTTTTGCCCAAGAAGAGTAAAACCAGGGCTGCAGGAATACAAAGAAACAGCAATCAGCAAAATGTAGTTTGTCTTAAATAAAGCTAACAAAAAGCAAAAAAATGTGTAAACATGTTTATTACCCAGCTTAAGACATTACTGTGTACATAAAACACAGACTTCAGGCTAAAGTTTATATCAATATCACACAGACTACCATATTCAAAAATGCATGTTTGAAAGCCCACAAACATATTCAGTTGTCTCTTCCATGACATCCATCTTCACAAAAGTGTTGTGAAACTGTATCATGGTTGGATTATTAATTATATCATGTCATAGCTGGAATGTCAAGAGGTGGGTTTTGTTTGTTTGTTGGGGGAGGGGAGTGTTAATTGATTCTTTTAAAAGATACTATTTGTATCTGATCAATTATTCTTCTACCAACCATGGAGTTACAAAACATGGCTTTTTGGAGTTTTTGAGTATATAATATTAACTTTATCATTTCTATCACTCAAATACAAATGTCTAAGTAAACGTGATTCCATTCAGCAGATGGCTTGCTTTGTTTGCTGCAGGTTAAATGTATAAAGAAATATCTGCTTCATGGCAGTGAAAAATTAAAAACTGAAAAAGTATTCTAAACCCAGGATACTACTTTTCTGCTTCTTACATAGTCCAATTTTAAAGTAGATGTTCATATAGTGATCATGAAATCTTTGTCCTAAAAAAATGCCAGAAACTGTAGTCCTCTCTTTACATGGTATCCTGCCACCCCAGTTTAGAAATAGTCTTCCTTCTGAGAGTGCAGGAGATTTGCTATTTCTTCCCTCCAGGTCACCTCCCTTTTTACCAGATGCCCCTTGCCTGCTCACCTTTCCTCCTCACCTATATCTACCAGCTGCATCTCACTGAGCCCAACTGGGTAAATTCCATGCTTCTGTCTTCTGCTATTCTCTGAAAGAGTCAACAGGCTAGCGGAAAAGTAGACAGGGGCTTAGAGAAGCAGCAAATGTTCATTTAGATTCAGCATTTCTTTCTAATGGTTAGAAACTGTGTAGAAAATAAATCTACCTTTAAATGAGTGAGATGCAAAAAACTGCTATAACTTTGCAGTCTTATACTTGTTGGATTTTATTCCTGATTTATTAAATATGGTGCTCTAAACAAGTCCATTTCTAAATGTAGTTGTTGGCACTTGGGTTTGTTTAGTAGAAAATGGCATTTATAACACACTGTACCTATTGGATTATTCATAGTTCTTGATCCCTTCTTAACTAGCACTCCATTTTTTTTTTCAAAGCAACTGCATTCTCATCATGCTAAATTGTCTTAGAGGATTAATTTCCTGTATTAGTTAGAACAGGTTCCATAGGCCACAGCTGATATGAAGTTAACAGTTTTGTAGCTGAAGATTTCCTTTACCCCTTCGGTCTTATTAAAGAATACTGTTATTTCTGAAGCATATACGTACCTTGATTAAATATTAATCTGTCATTTTATCTTTACATTTCTTCAGAGCAATAGGAAGCAGTATGTATATATGTATACATCTATACACACGCCTAATACAAACCTAAATGTCAGAAGTTTGGTATTGTATGTTTTGAAGGACATATCACTTCAAAAGCTGGTGACATTTAATAACACTTTAGTGTACCTCCACTCTGAGAGAAGATAACATGCATTACAGAATCACTTGGAGTGCCGCTGAATAAATTGACAGAAAATGCAAAAAGTATTTTTTTAAATAATCAAAATATTTCTTTCAGCTTAACCTTATATGAGAAAGTCTTCTTCATTTCTGTTTAAAAATAAAACTATTGAACTGCTAGAAAACTCAGAAATTAATATATTTGTTTTATTGGGGATAAGTATCAACTTTGATTTTGCCATAAAAAAGGTGTTTCTGGTCTAACTCCTTGCACTCCATTGTTTCTTCTTCTTTTCTCCTCCAGCATAACTATACAGCTATATTGGTAAGCAGGTGCAACCATGTGAACGTATGCCAGAAAGTTTTAGAAAGTAGCTTGATTTCCTGCTGTTCCTCATGAGAAGTGATATTTGTATTCTTATGCAGAACCTAGGTGAGGAAAAAAGACAAAAATAATGATTACCTTACAAAACAATGCTACTGCAAATATTTTCTTTTAAAGAACAATCATCACTGATGGTGCCATGAGATTGTTACCAATCTTGTATCTAGGACATAACCAGTTTCCAGCCAGAGATGAAGTCAAGCTCTGCAGATTGATTCTGCTGTGTCTTTTGAACTGGGGATTCTGCCATGACTTTTGCACTGGGACAGGCTCATTAAAAACTCAAAGATAGAAAATGTTATCAGAGCCTTGTTATACTTCTTGGCTGCTTTGCTTGCTAACAATTAATTTTGTTATCACCAGTGGGCCTACTGGTGATAAAGTGGCTGTGTTTTCTTATTCCCTTGGGAAACTTCCATAAAATACTCTGAAGAATATACAAGGGGAGGAGAAACAATTTGCTGTATTCCATTCACATATCAGAAATAAGGGAATAAGGCATAAGATATGTAGTATTTTAAGCAACACAAATATAGTGCTGAAAAGTCATATACCATTTATTTTCATTTTAATTGAAAATTTGAATGCAACAAGAACAGTTGCTGAGGAAATATTTTCCTTTTTTAATGATAAATTTCAGAAGGTGCCATTTGCTCCTGTAAATTTTCAGGACTGTTTCCTAATATAACTGGTATGTTAAAAAGTTTTTAAAGAGTTTATGTTTTGTAATTATGAGATAATTTATACGAGAAGAAAATAAACATAATCTTTTTTTTTTTTTTTCCTTGAGGTACTTCAGTTACACAGGTAACAGCTACAGATGGTGATGATCCTTCTTATGGGAATAGTGCCCGTCTACTTTACAGTCTCATTCAGGGACAGCCTTATTTTTCTGTGGAGCCAAAGACAGGTACTACAAGTGATCTTATAACTTAAAAACATTCATAAACTAACATAAAATGGATGCAAACAAAAATGCTTGTCTGCATTTCAACACAAAGATCAATTGATACAGCCCTACACTTGTACATCTTTGAATAGTTCCTGATCAAAAAAAAAAAAAAAAATTAATTCTTTCTTTCCCATAGGAAGCTGAAATTCTTTCTCTAGAGAATCATCAACTTACTTAGCAAATTATCTTGCTAAAGAAAAGAGTTGGATTCTGAGTACCCCATCCAATAAATGGGCCGAGGAACGCTTCTGGATTAACAGCTCTATGACTCACTATGTGACATTCCTATCTCTATGTTGGAGAAACCAGAGCTGTATGACATCCTTCCAAAATCCTCATTTCTGGGGAAGAAAGAAGGTTATATATACGGTTGTTGCGGTTTGACCTGGCAGGCAGCTAAACACTACACAGCCGTTTGCTCACTCTCCCCCTCCCCAGTGGGATGGGGGCGTGAATCAGAAAAAAAAAGTAAAATCCAAACCACAGCACTATGCCAGCTACTAGGAAGAAAATTAACTCTATCCCAGCCAAAACCAGGACAATGGTAGAGGAGATATACGGTGTATTCTGCTCCCCAGAACTCTAAGTATGCAGAATGGATCTGTCATACAGTGTAGATGTTGCCATGAGTACTAATTCCCAATATTAGGACAGTTGTGCTGTGCATGGTGTAGAATGTAAATTCATAACTGTGTCCAATAATGCATTTTATATCCATGTTATATGGTCATATATTGGGAAAAAATGGGACTATTATATGTTGTTATATTATACTTTTCATTTTTAGGGGTCATCAGAATGGCCTCCCAAATGGATAGAGAAACAAAAGATCAATATTTGGTCATCATCCAAGCTAAAGATATGGTTGGGCAAGCAGGGGCATTTTCAGCAACAGCCACTGTTACCGTCAACCTCTCCGACATCAATGACAATCCACCTAAATTTCAACAGCGTGAGTATAGGCTATTTACAGTAGTTGAAGTCTTGAGGAAATTTACATCTACTGTAGCTCTATTAAGTTTACTGGTGGGTCTTTTCAGAACAAGTCTGTGCTTTAACTACAACATACAGATTTAAAAAAAAAATTAAAAAAAAATCCCTCACAAAAGCTCAAAAATGAAGAGGAAAAGAAAACCTATCATTACAAAATACCTCAGGCTTGCTGGTTTTATCGTTAGGCTTTGGAGGCAGATGACTTACTAAACTGCTTTCCATACAGTTTGCCCTAGCTAAGGCTAAAATCTGGGCAATGGGATATTTAGTACCATTTTCACTCACCTTCTTTCTTTTTCTCCTCTCTTCATTCTTTGCTGACAGATAAAGTAAACCTTTTGGCAAGTGATATGACCTTCTCTGTCCAAGAAGTTTCTAGCTGCTAGCTGGGCTGTCAGGAAGAACAAGTGAATGTGGTTGTGAGGTTTTGCCCTCCACTTTTTTTCACCCTGTTGGTTTTCCTCAGCTCTTTATTTACTGCTAAAGTGGGCTGAGAGACGAGGCTGCATGAGTGGAAAGGTTGTCATCCCCTGCCCCCAAGATCTATCCATTGCCAGATTAGTTCCATTGCTCTAATAAAAGCTGGGGGCTTTCCCAAACTTTCTGAGAGCCTCAGGCCATCATAGCTACAGCAGCTATTAACCATGGCAGATCACTAAACTGTGCCAGTATTTGTTTCTTTAGGACTCTACTATATGACCGTCTCTGAAGAGGCTCCTGTGGGCACTACTGTAGGTAAAGTCTTTGCAGAAGACAGCGACATAGGGGAGAATGCAGCCATGAACTATTTCATTGAAGATGATAGCTCAGATGTTTTTGACATCATTACTAACAATGAGACTCAAGAAGGAATCATCGTATTAAAAAAGGTGACATCTCAGAAACCTTCTAAAAATCTCTAAATACTGGAAAGAATCCCCTCAAGCAAGTTGGATGTTTAAATAAGGCCTATTGCTTTGGATTCTACTATTTTTTCTTTCTTCAGGTTTTGTGATTTGATTGAGCTATTAAGGGGATAATAAGAAACATGCTTTTCTTTTGTTTGGGTTTTTTTTTGACTCATTTCTATTACTTCTGAATACAATAGTGGCAGCCAAAGTATCTTAATGTTATTCCTAGCTGTGCAACACAGTGCATCCCATTGTGAGAAAATGTTCTATCTCTTCTGTCCATCATCTGTAAAATCTTTATCAATAAATTGTATATAATATTTCCTCACTTCCAACACCTCCTGTTAAACTTAACTCAAGCCAGAACGTATTACAGTATTAGATAGACAGTAGAGTTCTCGTTATGACATAGCTTTGAAAAGACACTAAATACACTCAAAAATATTCTAGTTTATGAAATAAGATATTTAAGAGGCTTTGATACTATATGATTTATTTTGGAATCACATAGGAAGATTGCTGGGTCAATTGAGTCATCAGCTGAACTGATGATAGAGTTTGATAGTTTAGTGAAATCCAGGAGTCTGAAGAACTGAATGTTATAAATTTCATGGTTTGTTTTGTTTTGTTTTGTTTTGTTTTCTATTTGGATTCATTGCAGCTCAGGAAGGTATTTATTTCGTATTTTTTTTTAATTACAGAAGATAACGACTATCTAAAATAGCAATATAACTACGTGTTTAGTAAACACTCACTGTTGCCTTCTGGAATGTATGTCCTTTAGAGACTAGATTTTAACATACTCAACACCTCCAGATTAACTGATTTGCATTGTTTATGTAAGAGTAAAGGATAGTGTTCACTAAGGTTACTCTTATGTTGGAAATACAAGTACTAATAGAAGTTGTTTTTCTTAGGGTTGACATTCTATGAGAAGACTTCTTTTACAGTGTTCTTTATAACATTAAAGCCAGCCTACATGTGAAAGCAAACAATGGCATAGCACAGTTTAATTTAAAAGTGTTTTTAATGTTAAAAAAGAAATCTTAGAAGTAACTATTTTTCAAACATTCCCAAAAGAAGGATAGCAATATTTTGTTTTTAACCTCACACCACTTATTGAACTGTATTTAATTCAAATGTGGAGAAAGAAATATTCCATATCTCACTTTCTTTCTTAACAGAGAGTGGATTATGAGACCAGGAGGAGATACAGTATTCGAGCAAAAGTTGTAAACAGGTACATTGATGACCGTTTTCTGAAAGAAGGACCATTTGAAGATAAAACCATTGTCAAAATCAATGTGGAAGATGCTGATGAACCTCCAGTTTTCACCTTGGAGAACTATGTGATGGAGATTGCTGAAGCGGCTGTGAGTGGCTCCTTGGTGGGCATTGTAACTGCTAAAGATCCAGATGATGATGACTGCCCAGTCAGGTACCTAACTTAAAATGTGAACAGGCCTCAAATATAAATGTAGTTGGGATTTCCAAAGGCTATTTCTGTTCCTTACCTTGGCTCATGATTACAGTTAATCATGCTTTCATTGTGACAGCCTAGGTTATTCTATGTGTAGTGGTTTAACCCCAGTAGACAGCTTAGGACCACACAGCCACTTGCTCACTCCCCCAATCAGTGGGATGTGGGAGAGTAACAGAAGGGTAAAAATGCAAAAACTCCTGGGTTGAGATAAAGACAGTTTAATAATTAAAAAAAAAAAAGAAAAAAACAACAAAGGGGAAAAAAAAACACACAACAAAACCCCAAGAAAAACAAGTGATGCAAAAAAACCCCAAACAATTGCTCACTCCCAGTTGGCTGATACCCAGCCAGTCCCTGAGCAATAGCAGCCCTGGCCAGCCTCCATCCCCTCCTGGTTTTATTGCTGAGCACGACATCATATGGTATGGAGTATATCTTTGGTCAGTGCGGTCAGCCATCCCAGCTCTGTCCCCTCCCAACTTTTCGTCCACCCCCAGCCTACTTGCTGAGAAACAGAAAAGGCCATGATGCTGTGTAAGCACTGCTCAGCAGTAACTAAAACGTCTCTGTGTTATCAACACTGTTTTGGTCATCAATCCAAAACATAGCCCTGTACTAGCTGCTATGAAGAAAATTAACTCTATCCTAGCCAGAACTTAGGTTAAATCCTGCCCCCTAGCCCAAAATCTAAATAAAGGAGCTTTGTCTGTGCATCTTTGCAATCACTTTGAGATGGGGTAATATTTTAAACAGTAGTCTGGAAGAGTCTGTGGATAACAGCAGAACTAGGATACCACAGCCAAACCTGTAAGTGCCTGGAGGTGTTCCAGTCTGTTCCTAATAACTTCTGGAGATATGGAGAGTTGGACTCATTGCTCGGAGGGAGTCAGGACAGCTCCCCTGGCATCTGCTCAGCTCAGCATGACCAAAAATTTACAAATTCCCTACTTTTATCACAATTGCCCTATAGAGATATTATATTTAAAAAATCCCCCAGGCTTTTAATTTTGCAAAATAATTTTGCTGTTTCTTAAGGGAGAAAACAGGTAATTAATCTTTAACAGGAAGTTTATAATTAATATAGTTTCTTAAGTTACTTGATATCACTGTGTACTGTGCAATTTAGACAAGCTAGGATACAGGACCATGATGAGACATAAAATAACTTATGGTATGTATATTAATTTAGCAGATTCCTAATAGAAGAAATATATATATATAGCTACCTATAGTTACTACTTCAGAGGTTTAGTCAATGCAAGGCCATTTGCTATGATTTTGCATTCATTTACTGTTATTTAGTAAGCTAGTCATAGGTTAAATTAACTAAGAATAAATAAAAATATACATGCACCTTTTTTCTTTTTCAAAGAAAAAGGGGGTTGTGTTGTGGTTTATTTAGATGAATGCAGCATCTCATGTGAAAGATTTGAACACGGTGCATATCTATGACTTCTTAGTTTTAAATATTTTGATGGAACATGCTACAAAGTGAATATGTCTGCATAGTCCCAAAACAGTGACAGATACATTGCTTCACTGAGTTTCTCTGAAACCGAGCATGTCACTTCTAATGTAAAGACATGTTTATTGGGCTAAGTGCCATGTGTATGAATCTAATTTTGAAACAACTGCTATCATAAATGACAGCTGTTGCTCATAATACCAGAAACTGACTGCGTTGCATTGTGGACCCCAGTTCTCAAATAAACAAAGTAAACAAAGACATGCAACAAAACCTCACCACTTCGATAATAAAAATAACTAAAAAAGTATTCAACATAGATTTTCTGAAAATTATCTGTCAAGACTCAGATTACCAAAAAAAACCCCAAACAAAAGAAAACACCAATGTCAGAACACTCTAAACAAGCTTTGGATGCAGAGAATGAGAAATACTCACATTAAAAAAAAGAAAAAACAAAAAAAGGAATTTTAAATCCCTAAAATAAAGGTTTATAAATGTCACATCTTTGGCTCAAATGATAAGAAATTTCACTGACTGTGTTGTGCTGGTTCCTTGATTTATCCTCTTACTGATTTTCAAAACAGACAAAATGTAACTATAAATAACAAGTTATAGAGCCATCCAACCACTGGCACATAATCTGAGCTGGAGTCCTAAGTGCCAACAGGAGACAGAAAGACTTTGTCAAGCACAATTAAAGGTACAATAAAAGAGGGAATAATTGCATGTGGGAATTCCAAACTGGAATGGTAAGAACCTTTCAACCTTTCAAACAGGTTTTATTTCCATGAAAAAAACTCTACTAGGACCTGTGACATACAGTCTTTTTTATGTGACGTGAAAAATATTTGTAAATATCCTTTCCATTTGAAACAATATCTTTGGTGTCTTTTTCAGTCCATCTCTGGCCTGTGACTAGTGGTTAGACTTTAACAATTTGAATGGTATGTATGTATGTACGTGTGCATGTGCATGTCTGCATACGGATGTAGCATCCAGAGCCTTTTAAGTGAAGCCTCAGGAACACCAGACTTGTTTGCAATCATCGCCTAGTTTATGAATTTGTACCCTATCTAGGTGACACCTCATTACAGATAGTTGCCTGTCTTTATAATGCCCATTCCCTTGGCATCAGAGCATGTCAGCAATGATAAAAAAGATTTGCCATTATACCTCCACTTAGCTGTTAGTATTATTCATTTCACAAGTGGCACTTTTTCTGTTTCTTTTCAACGAAGTCATTCACCTGCTGTGAGCCTGACTTAGAAGTAAGAATGAATAATGCATTTCAGATTCAGTTCACATTAATATAGATCTGAGACATATTTAGTTTTATAAAAAGAATAGCTTTGATCTTGGCAGCAGTGTATTTTAAATGTTTATAAGTGTACATTTTTCATGATTTCTGAGTTGTTGCAGCATGCATTTATATGTATATATGCACAGCTCTGTTTTCTCAAGTGACAATAGATTTCTATGTCCTTGCTTCTGATGGAACATTTCAGTATTAGGGAATCTCTTTACTTTTTTTGGTGCAGATACTCTATTGTCCACGGCATGCATTTAAAGAAATTGTTCAGCATCAATGAACACAATGGAACAATCATTACAACTAAACCTCTGGACCGAGAGATAGCTTCTTGGCACAACATAACTGTTACAGCCACAGAAACAAGTGAGTAAGAAATTTAAGGAACACTGTGCTTTATATACTGCAAACTGTAATTATCCTCTGAATATGCCTTCTTTTAAGTGGAGAATACATGCTTCTTTCTCATTATATTACTGTTGCTTGCTACATTAAGGAGCATTATTAAAATGAGTAGTTAAATAGAAGGGGAATGTATCTGAGCTCCAAGGTCCTGTGCTCTTTCATAAAAGATGACCTTATAAAAAAAGAAAGGAAATTATAATAGGATCGAGACCGCAACACTTTCAAGTTACATTGAAGCATATGAATTGCTCCTGCAGTGCAAGATCTTATGTTAAATTAGACCCTGGTTAATTTCACACCAGATTTCTGACTAGTGTGAAATTAGCCAGGGTCTAATTTAACACCAGTCAGAAACCTGTGGCTCATTAATTGTGAATGTAAGGCCTAAATCAGCTAGACTTCTCTTCAGTGACAATTAAATCTGTGAAGCATCCGTTATATAGATTTCACCTGTCAGTTTGGTTTGAAAGTCAAATGCAAATTGCTGCTGTTTGTGCTTTTGGTGATCTGGTTGCCCTAACTCTGGGACAACACTCTAGAAAATTAACAGCTACTGATTTATAAGGCATCTTAACAGGATTATTGAAATATTATTTAACAACTAATCACATCTATCCTCAGGAAGGAGAAAAAAACATATGAAACTACAGTCCAATCAATAAATCAGATAGCTTTTTCCCAAATAGTTTTAGCATTTTTTTTTTAATCCTGAATCTCAGTTAAATGTTATTTTATTGCTAAGACTACTTTAAACATATATTCATAAATTGCATTGTTCCCAAAAGGGGACATTCCTTGTATATCTATAGAATATTACTGCTATAAGTCTAATATAGGATAGTCAGTAGCTGTTTTCATTGAAGTCTTTATCTTCTGTTTGGGAATTGACAGTATTTTCTTCCTTTTTAGTTTCTCTGCGAGTTTTTAAGCATGGATGTATTTTACTTCTCATGTTGTTGGGCAGCTGGCAGGGAAAATTGATCTCTGGCATATTTTTGTCATGTCTTGAATAGTGCTATGGAAACACAGCAGGATGACTTTGGTCTGGACTTTTCTGTTCAGTTAAACAATAAAATAGGAAGAACCAAATGTTACAAATGAATAAGTGTCTCTTGTAGCAAAAAAAAAGTGTCTTTCACAGTAATGAAAGTTATTGTAGAGAAACCGAGCCCTCATTATCTTCATATTCTTATTCTTTATGTCTTTAATGATGATAAGGTCACTGTCTATAACACTATATTCAAAAGCATTGAAGTTAGGTCACCTTGGTCTGGGCATACCTGAAATGATTTATGTTATGAACTAGTAGCATTATATTCCTTGAAATATAGTCATAACATACACTGTGTGTGTGAGGCATTTGGTGGATGACATTGTGGCTCCACTGAAGCCAAATCAAAATTCCATTAGAGTTCATCCACACAAGATATTCATTGCAGCTGAGACAGATATTGAAACTGCATTACAGCAGCAACCTCCCTAGGGGCCTGTTGAGGTCCTGGTGTTCAAAAAAGGCACAAGCATTTTGCCTCCATTGTAATGACAGGGATCAGAGATAAGTAAGAGGAGCTTGCCTCTATTATTGCAGATTTGTGGTGTGGATCATCCTATCCTCAAGCCATTGAGACAGCATGTTTAAAGGTACCCAGAAGTAAATTTAATTCATTGGACCTTAAACACAAGCAGTCAGAACCTGCAAACTGTTGAGTCTTATTCCACTTTATGCCTAAGATGGTTCTAGCTCAAAAGAAATTAAGTTTCCTTTGCTCAGTTTTTACTTGGTTGTAATCAGCTTCCACCTAGTACAAGGCTGAAGCATAAACAACAACATTCTAACTGTGCATGAGAGCTCTTAAGAAATCCTTAAGTCATCAGCTTTACTTAACACTGATTTACAGAATCAGATGAAGACTGACTGACAATTAATTAATTTAGAATAGGAATATCCAGTTCAGCTTTCTCTCTATTGAACTGTAAATGACCAACAAAAAAACCCAGTTATAACATCTGGCTTGAGCTTATTTTGATCCTTATTTCTCTATACGCCCATTGGAAAAGTGCACTACCAGTCATAAGCTAACTTACCTGCAAGATAAACAGTCATTTTCCCACTGGGTCTTGCAGATGTCCTTTCATAGTGGCTTCTAGACCTACTACATGACTGCAGAATTTACAGGTCTTTGAAGGTTTCAGTCATGGATCATATAACTAATTCCATTTAATTGTCACCCCACTGGTCATATATAATTTTGTTGACAGACTTCTAACATTTTAGATTAGTCCTTAAAAAAAAAAAAAAAGTGTCCATTTCCTTTAGGAAGTAAAGAAATTTGCTTTAGCCTAAATTATAATTATAACAACAACTATTATTATTACTATCATACTGCAAGTACTGAGTTCTACTTTGTCTGTAGAGATGTTCACTGCTTTTCTTTTCACACAGCTCCAAAATAAGCAAGTTACTAATTTTGGTCCCTAGTAATTAAAATATCAACTTCATTCTTCACACTGATCCAGCCTATTGCACTTAATATCCTGTTCTCTCAGACCTTGTTTTTCAATTTCTGTTCTCTCTCATAGAGATTATGACAAAGAAATTTTCTGCTCATTGAAAGATCTTTAGACTAATGTTGGATATGAGTACAATAGCTGTATTCAAATTCTGACAGCTATTTTCCCATGTAAGGGATAAAAGCCAAATAAGTGTTGCCTATCATCTTCCCCAACTGCAACCAAAGAAGTCACTCTGCTTCACCAAAAACCCTTCATTAAATATTTACCAGACACTGATTCCAAGAGTGGCTTTGTAATGTGTTGCTCCCTCCCAAAATAAAACATCTGTGATTTCAAAAAAATCAAAAACTTCCATACTGTTGTCTTCCAGCAGCAACGTGAGGAATGATCTTCCTTGTCATTTAACCATATGTTAAAGAAAAAAAAAACAAAACAACCACAACACAACAACCCAAATATAGTAAGGAAGTAGAAAGAAGACTATTGCCAAAAATAAAAAAATACGAAAAGAAGGGTTATTTGGTGAAAGGAAACAGATGTGAATGGCAGCTCTATGCTGAAAGGTGTTATCCAAATGTTTGTGCAGGCAAAAGGTAGGCTTTAAAGCCAATATATTACTCATGAAGCTTATGAACAAGGAAGTTAGGAACAGGCCAAGGTAGCTGGGTCCTTCCCATGCCACTTTGTATACAACTGAAGCCACCAAAGCCACCTGCCTCTTCGTAAGTGTTACAATCTTTTCCTTTCAAAGCCAATCCAGCCAAATCTCTGCTCTACACATCCAATTCTGACTTAAGTAAAAGAGGAATCTCTGCCCTACACATCTAATTCTGACTTAAATAAAAGGTTAAGTAAGTCCTACACTCTCGGTATTATTTCTAAAAGGGAGGTGTGCTACTTTTTATTTTTATTTAAAAGAATAAGCCAAGCACTGTTTCATTGCCTGCTGTATTATTATGGATGTTGGGATTCAACAGGAGAAATGTCATCCCACAAAGAAGTATTTTTGAGATGACTCTGACAGATCAGAAGCTTTGGTAAATTAGCACGGCTCTAATGATTTCACAGGGAGAATAGTAATGTGAAACTGCTGAGTATCTAGACCTTTATCTCTGTGGTAGATGCTTTTGCTGCCATTTCCTTTGGCAAAAGACTCAAAGCTACCAGCACAGATTGCATAAGATCCAAGAAAACAAATGTTTGCTCCAAGCAACTAGTGAATTATACATTAAAAAAGAAATACACGAACCAACCAAACCTGTACAATTTGAAGTGGGGCAGAAACGAGTACTTTTGTTTTTTTTCTCTTAAAGGTCCATTTGACTAATTTAAGAAAATGCCTTAAGGACTTCTGAACAGGTCAGAAGCAGTGACACTAGCACCCATCATGAGGCATATTTTAACTATAATGAATATTCTTGTGAGTGTCATGCCTCTAGTTTAGACAGAGCAGATTAAGATATTGATAGATATTTAGGTTGATAAATATTTAGTATTCCTGGAATGTCTTAAGATTACTTTATTCACTGGAAAAATATATTTATTATGGTCCTTACCCAACAACACATCCAAGTTAATGTGAATGTTACTGTTGCAATGAAACTTCTTGCCTACTAGAGTAATAAATTACATTGTGGGACAGGCATTTCTCAGAGTTATACCATGTAAGTAAGGGTTCAATGTGTTGATATGCGAAGGACTTCTAAGAGGTATTCAGTATAGAATCATAGAATCATTTCGGTTGGAAAAGACCTTTAAGATCATCAAATGAAATTGTAAACCTAACACTGCCAAGTCCACCACTAAACCATGTCCCTAAGTGCCACATCTACAAGTCTTTTAAATACCTTCAGGGATGGGGACGCAACTACTTCCATGGGCAGCCTGCTCCAGTGCTTAATAACCTTTTCAGTGAAGAAATTTGTCCTACTATTCAATCCAAACCTACCCTGGTGTAACTTGAGGCCATTTCCTTTCATCTTATCACTTGTTACTTGGGAGAAGAGACTGATACCCACCTCGCTACAACGTCTTTTCAGGTAGTTGTAGCAATAAGGCCTCCCCTCAGCCTCCTTTTCTCCAGGCTAAACAACCCCAGTTCCCTCACATATGACTTGTTCTCCAGACTCTTCACCAGCTTCATTGCCCTTCTCTGGACACGCTGCAGCACCTCAATGTCTTTCTTGTAGTGAGAGGACCAAAACTGGACACAGTATTCCAGGTGTGGACTCACCAGAGCTGAGTACAGGGGAACAATCACCTCCCTGCTCCTGCTGGCCACACTAGTCCTGATACAAGCCAGGATACTGGTGGCTTTCCTGGCCACCTGGGCACACTGCTGGCTCATGTTCAGCCGGCTGTCTACCAACACCCACAGGTCCTTTTCCTCCAGGCAGCTTTCCAGCCACTCTTCCCCAAGCCTGTAGCGCTGCATGGGGTTGTTGTGACCCAAGTGCAGGACCTGACACTTGGCCTTGTTGCACCTCATACAGTGGGCCTCGGCCCATCGGTCCAGCCCCTCCAGATCCCTCTGTAGAGCCTTCCTACCCTCCAGCAGATCAACATTCCCACCCAACTTGATGTCATCTGCAAACTTACTGAGGGTGCACTTGATCCCCTCATCCAGATCACTGATAAAAATATTAAACAGAACTGGCCCCAATACTGAGCCCTGGAGAACACCATTTGTGACCCGCCACCAACTGGAGTTAAATCTATTCACCACAACTCTTTGGGTCCAGCTATCCAGCCAGTTTTTTACCCAGCAAAGAGTACACCCATCCACACAATGAGCAGACAGTTTCTCCAGAGGAATGCTGTACCTGCAGATCTTCCTTCCCTTGGTTTCAGTAACATATTTATAAACATTTTAACTACATAAACAGTTTTTTAGCCTAGTCTACACACAACTTTCGTACTATGAAACTAGTAGAGTTAGGTCTGGTTTTTCATTGTCTGAAGTAGTTATAGCAATATAACTTTATGTAAATTCCATAAATGCAGGAAAAAAGTGCCTTATATTAGTAGATTTTATTTTCCTTTTCATACAGGAATAAGCCATACTGACATAGCTTTTATATCTAAACCCACAGTAATAAAGTGGGTTTAGATATATACTGTGATAAAGTATACTTGTATAACAGAAGCAGTACAGCTTCTGTGTGTACGAAATGCTTAAGAATTCAACCTGTTGTGCAAATAATACTTGGAACAAAACTATAAGCTCATTCTATGAAGTCTGACAGCAGTAATGCCTTAGACATGCCTGGGCAAAATCAGACTTCTTTGTAAATATGTGTTTGAGGATCAGCAGATAGAACAGCTCTGTTGTTCCAAATTCAGTCTCAGCTTTCTGCTTTGGCTAGGGTTGGGTATCAGTGTCTACTGCAATTACTCCATGTCTAGCAGTGGCAGAAATATTTATAAAGCATGTGAATTTTGGCAAAATTTTCTCCCAAATCTTTAAAATTTCAACATGTTTCAAAGAAGAGGAAGAGTAACAATTTCTTAAAGGACTGTGACCAATTGTTATAGTATCCATGATGTTAAGTAACATAAGAAAGCACAGCCACCTCCTCGCGTTGCTCTGGCCCAGGACCCTCCTGCCCAGCTGCTGGAGACCAGCCTGGTGCCCGGGGACCTGAGGCCTCTGCCCAGTCTCAGGGATATGGCTGATAGTTTCCTGTTTGCAGGCTCAACCTGTAGCAGAGCTGAGCACGTGTCCTAGAGACACGCACAAACACACACACACACACACAGAAGACACTGACACAGCCGGTCATAATGGCTGCCACAGACAAGGCTCTGCCTTCAGCAGCACCTATATACAGGACTCACATAAACCACAAGGGCAGACAGCCAAGTCCCCTCCTCCTCTTCGTCTGGAGAGGCAGAAGGTCGCTGGTGCAGGCACACATGACACTCTCCAGTTTCACAAGCACACACACTCTCCTGGATTGCTTCAGTACCTGCATGGATCCTCTGTCTGCCTTGCACACCAGCCTGGATCTCAGGTCCTCTTATCCGTTTCATGGGTCCCCAACTCCATGTTCAATGCCTGATGGAAAACCCACAGCACTCACACACTTGTCCCTCACGCACCCCACATTCACAAGTCACCCCTGAACGTACCAGCATGGAACCCCCCTGAAAGACTGGCCTGGACCCAAGGACCCCCTACTCACTGTTGAATCCAGCTTAAAGTTTATTAGCGAAAACACACACCCCAGACACAGTTTGGGGAAGATACAGACACTCACCCCTGCACCCTCTATTCATTCCAGTAGCTGGCACCATGTGCCAGAGGTGGCCACACACCCATCTGACTCCAGTAGCTGGCACCAGTTTTCACTCACATATGTGGGCTCAAGCTGCGCCAGGGGAGGTTTAGGTTGGAAATTAGGAAAAATTTCTTTACGGAAAGGGTGGTCAAGAATTGGAACAGGCTGCCCAGAGAGGTGGTGGAGTCACCATCCCTGGAAGAGTTCAAAAAACAGGTAGATGTGGCACTTTGGGACATGGTTTAGTCTAGTCTACCCTTGATTGGTTTAGAGTGGACTTGGTAATGTTAGGTTAATGGTTGGACTGGATGATCTTAAAGGTCTTTTCCAACCTAAATGATTCTATGATGCTATGATATGCAGGTCTCACTAGTAGCTGGTATTTAGTCCCTGCAGCACACATACACATGCAGTGATAGAGAGTGAGATTATGCAGAGAGATAGCTAAGAAAAAAAAAAAGAAGAAGATATAAGATGATATGAATAACTGGTGATCAGGCACAGGGCTCAGCCAGACAAGCATACTGGCTGGCCCCATTTTACATGCGGCTGGCCCCTTTTATACCCTTTTCTGTCTGCCTCCCCTTTACTCCTCCCTGCACATCCCCCATGGGTCTGTACATCTGCGCTGATTGCCGTGTCCCTCTGGTTCTGCGGTCCTTCTGGTTTATAGTCTTATCAGTTGCAAAGTTCAGGTTGATCTACCTGGAATTGTTGCCCTGTGGTTTCTGGATAGCCCATCAATTATTGTGAGGTTTGTTTCTTGCCATTTTCTCCATGTTTGCTTTGTCAGTCTGTGTCTTTGTATATTTTGATTCTGTTTTCCCCTTTTCCTCCCTCAGTTTCCCAATTGACATGGTCCCCAATCTGATAACCTCACAAGAATAAACTTTCTCATGCTCTCACATGTCCCCATCAATTAGTGTGTCTGACCAGGTTTGGTTCTCATCACCCCCTCCCTTATAATTTTCCCTCAGGTTTGTGTCCCTGTATGTTCTTGTTTATGGCTTCCTCTTTTTCTTATTTAGTCTTGTTGCATTGAATAAGGTCCTTGGCCAGATGCCCTTAGAGGAGCAGACATTCTCCTTCTACATACCCTTACACATTACTAGTACAGGAAATTGTTCTGCGTAAACAAAACCTCATTTAATTTCATTTTTTTCATTTTTTCATTTAATTTTTACATTTAAATCAGTTTCTGATTTGGTAAATGAGTGAACAAGTCCAAAATTTTACATGAAATAACCTTATATATTTCAAGATATACTATTATAATTTAACGTGATGGATTGGTGAAAAGCCAAAAACAAAACCTCACCACCTTTTGTAAACAGAACCCCAGCAAAGAAAGACAATGTCCTTTTCTATATTTATAAGATATCTTTGAAACCATTAAAAAAATTTAGTATAAAGTGTGCCTGTACATCTCAGTGACTATTTTCTTCTCTGGAGAATATAAGTAAAATTTTCTAATGCCTACATTAGTTTAAAATATGTAGTAGATTATAACTTTTATTTTCTGTCTTTTTTTAACCATTAGAAAATCCTGAAAAAATTTCAGAAGCAAATGTGTATATCCAAGTTCTTGATGTTAATGATCATGCACCAGAATTCTCTAAATATTATGAAACATTTGTTTGTGAAAATGCAGTTTCTGGTCAGGTAAGTGTGAAGGAGTTAGCCATCAGTTTTCTCATTACAATGAAGACTTAGTCTGAGATGTTATTATTTCCTTTAATATTAATTATTTCCGTACTATGAGTACAGGCTGTATTTTGCCTATTTCCAAAATTATTTCTGTTGATATATGTATAGTTTGAAATTTAGATTTCAGAAGACTGATGTGTATTTTTCCCCCCTTTAAAACAAAATCCATACATCTCCTTGTTTTTCTACCAAAACAGGTAATAAAGAAATACAGACAGAAACTTCTGAAAAAAACAAACAGCATGAAACACAAATTTGATTTATGTTCATGTCACAGAAGTTAAAGCTAGGCCTGGCATTTACAGCAACAGTATAATGTAGTCTGGAAGAACCAGACTTAGACCAGATTCAAACCAGATTTGTTGTGTTCTTTGGTTAGAAATTATTTGTTGTGAACTGAATTCAGCCCCTGCCTAGTTCAGTGGAAATCTGAAGATCTTAAGTCGTGGCCCTTGCAACACCTTCCCTAGCTGGCACCTTATGGGATTATCTTATTAAGCATCCTTCCCTGGAGGTTTTTTTTCATTTTCTACTCCCTCCCCAGGTGAATGGGGTCAAATCAGTCAGCTGCCCTAATCCCACAGGTACACTGCTGACTCTTCATTTTCCTCCAGCCACTTTCCTCTACAGCTTTATATTTTTTTTAAGTGATCCAGTTCTATAGCTTAAACTCCAAATTGTGCAATACGCATGCCACCAGGCTTCACACAGCAGTCTAAAAAAACCTGCAAAAATAGAAACAGGATATTCAAGGTTAAAAAAAAAAGTACAAGGTAAGCAACAAAAAAAACAACAACAAAAAGCTATAGGCAGAAAAAATCATGGTTTTTTCACCACTTTAAAGCATTCTTTGGACATCCAAAAGAGACCTTTGGGATATCTGTGATGGTTCCATTCAAACATTTTGCTATGTTTTGATTTCTGAATCACAGAGCCTTTCTTTTTACACCAGATTGGTTTCCTTTGACCTTGATTAGTCTGTAGTTAAATAAAGCTTTCTTTGTAGCAACAGCAATTTCTTCATAGTTTTTTTGCATCCATTTACTATATCATTATCAGCAGTTGGTTTGTTTGTTCTGCATTTGGTAATTTTCCACTCTGCAAAGGTTACCTCTGATTCAGAGGTACTTGGAGCAAGCCATTTCTCTTGGTGCTCAGGTAACTCACTGACAGGTCAAAGTACAGGCATTAAAGCAAATCCCCCTTCATGTTTCTTGTCTTCAGGGCACCACAAATTAAATATGGAAAATTATAAAATGGATATTTGCAATCCATGTTTTGGACTTGCCTACAGTATAAAACCCAGATGATTTATTTCTCAAGGTTTTTATCATTCCATAGTTGCTTATTGATAGATAACCTCTGTATGCTGGCCCATTAATGGCTACTTTTCAATAACAAATTAGGTATATATATATTAAATATTTTGAGAATCACTGGAGAAGATGACACTGTAAAGAATAGTAGCAGTAACAATAATAATAAACTCTCTGAGGATAGGATACAGAATTATCCCTGTTTAATATTATAATACCTGAATGAGTAATGAGCAGGATATTTTCCCCATTTTACAGACAAGCAAAATATTACTCTAGATTTCGGGGTTTTGGGGGGTTTTGTTTTGTTTTGTTTTTCCTTTTTTCATTGCTATAGGTTTTTAGGAGTCACAGGCATCTTCAGTTTAGCCTTTGGAGACCATGAGAGTAATGTTAAATAATCTTCTCATTAACAAATGATCTTAGGAAGAACAACAGGAAATTGCTACTACACTGTATAATTATCACAGTCAAAATTTATGACATTTTATTCAGTGTTTATGTTTGAAAACAGAATTGATAGCTGATGTATCTCCTTCAGTGCTATCATACTTTTTTTAGTCAGAGAAAAAAAAGTTCTTTATTTTCATCAGCAAGAAGCCAAAAGATTTAAAAATGGTTTTATAGATGTCCTGATTGTCCACTGAATAACACAATTTACATTTCAGTGGAATCAGTTTAAGCAGTTGAAGGATTTAATCAGGACATTACACAGCTTTTTATCTTAGCCATATTTCTGCAATCAATTCCAAACAGCTCAGGAATCTGCTTACATGTCATGAGTTGAGATCAAAGCTTGTATAGATATTCTATCACATTTCAATTTCTAAAGTAGCTATCTTTATCCATCTAGCTGGAAACGCTATATTGAGAAATATTCTCAGAGATGTTTTGAACCTCTGGAATTCACTTGCTTCCCTGATCTCAGCTGAGCTGTATCTACTTTCATGGGATATTCTGAAATATATTTGCATCTCCCATCTTACAGTGTTTGGGGGAAACGAAGGAAAATCACTGCAGAGGACATGATGCTGTCAAAAAAGAAATCTTCTTATTTGGATGACTTTTTCTTGGTGTCTTCCTGGTTTACAATAAAAGCAACATAGAACCATGTGGCAAATAAATTATTTTTACACAGCCTTCGAGTATGTGTAAAGGCTATGTGTGTAGGCTATGATAAAGAATGTGAAATACATCATGAATAAAACTAGTTGCACTAATTATCCAAACACAGAGGTAGTTAATGGTAACTTCAATCTAGAGAAAAATGCTTGTTCTGAAGTTTTGGATTTTCTGAAAGATTATAAAAAATTCTTTGTCTGCTTTTATTCAATGAGTGTTGACCTTCATGTCCCTGTATGGTGGTTTTGTGAGAGTTACAGACATGTTTACCTTAGCCTCTGAAAGACATTCAAACAAAAGGATTACATTTCGGTCTGTGGGACTATAATTTCAAATTTGACAATAAAAATGGAAGTAAAGAGGATAGATAGGTGTTTTTTGGCATCATTCTAAATCCATTCATCATGTTTATTAGACATTTTTCATGTTAGAGTTCTGTACTGTCCTATAATCGAAGTCAGCTGCGTACTAACCACAGCTAAAGTTTTCTTTTACACATTGAAAAACCACTTTCACTGCACCACTAGTATTAAATACATTATTTTCAAAATAACTCAAACATGAAAGTTGCTGTGTAAAATAGATTTCTATCCTACTACAGCTATAGCTGGTATCACATCAAATAGAGCAATATTAATAAGACATCCAGAACCAGGATTCCCTTTTTGATTGGATCTTTTGATTTTATAACTGTATGTAGATATGGTAAATGATGACCACAAAGTGGTATTCTTTATAGTTACCCTTTAGGTGTGTGTACAGTAAATACAAACTGTTGAATTCTAGAGGCTATATTCTGTAAAAATAATCAGGATTCAAAATGGACCAAATCTGTCCCAAAGGTAACACTAGAAACATCCCAGCAAAAATGGATTTGACCCAGAAAGCTTAATTCCCAAGTCATTAACAAATTAACTCAGCTGAAACTGAAGCTTGAAAGTTTAAAGTAAGCTATATCAAATGTCTTCCATCATATGTAAGCAAGCTGACCATCCAGAATGTACCTATTTTTACATATGGCAATTTCAGTCCTTTTTGTGGATATTGGTCTTTCTTCATATCATGCAGGAAAGAGATTTCAGCTGAAGATAAGCTGTGCCGGATACACCTACATTCTGAATTAATGCTTTCTTCTCTAATGCATATTTATTCTGGCAATTCTGAGTTCCTGTGATTTGGGGATCACATATGAGGTGACTTCGATGCTTCAGCTTGCTTAGTAATCTTTATTAGATACAAAGTGACTAGGTATGCAGAGCACTTTGAGTTAGAGATAAAAAAAAATATTTACTCAGTACTTAGTATATAATATAATCACCAGTTTCAGTGAAAGTGAAGAGTACTCATTTGATATTACTTCTCTACATAATGAAATGTTGACAGAAAAGAGGGAAAATCTTTAACCAAATTCTAGGGGTATATTATTAATGTTAACAATGAGCAGTTTGCTAAAACAAATCCTTTCTAACAAATCATGATGTAAAATGATTTTTGATAGCAGAGAAATAAAAGTGATGGGTTAGTAAGCCAATGTTTATTATTTCACCTTGCTATGTTCTCTTCATCATTTACAAAAAGCACCAGAGCAGAATTGATGAGAAAATAAAAAGTTAAAAAGAAAAAAAGCAATGAGGGCATCCTTTAGAGTATAAAAACATGGTGAAGCTGTGAAAACACCATATATTCTAGCAGGCCCTTACTCTAAGCTACACCTGCAGATGCACTGAATGTAACTTGTGACATTTTGAAATAGTGGGCACAGTGGCCCATGGAAAATTCCTTTTTCTGTTTTATACAGACTGTGATTCAACATTATCTCATAGCAGAATGGAAGAGGTAGGAAGAGTTTATCAGCATACAAAAACAAACATAAAAAGGCACCTAAGTGTCATGGCATGAGCTTTATAATTGTTATTCCTTTGCTGAGATGTACACCATTTTATTTATAGCTGAGCAGAAATATCTTACTGTAGACCCAGAGAAATCAGATCAATATTGTGCCAATTTGCTTTTCAAAAAAGAAATGGAAGCAGTCAAAAAGAGAACCTTGGTCTTGAGGTAGAAAGTCTACCTGGAAAATGCAGGTGTTGACTATAGTAATGAACATTTTAATCTTTTACCTGCACTAAAGTCTTATGGTCATCAAACATTATTAAGCAATGAGAAAAATCCTCCTACTTATAAAGCCTCTGCCGATTTGAAATAAAAACCAATTCTGTACTCCCAAAACAGGTGGGTGACCAGATCTCTTACATCCTATAAAACACAGCAGACCTGCTATTGAAGGATGCTGGGTGGAAAACAAAACAAAAAGAAACTAAAGCCTAAAGAGAAAGGTGACAACTCTGTTCCTACTTCCTTCCATCTGTCTAATGGGAATAGTAAGGCTATAGTTAGGTATGGGAGCATGCACAAAGGACTCCAATTTATACACTCAGCATACTCTAGCATCAAAATTAATGGTACTAATGGTTGTTCAGGTGGACAGCCTTTTTCTTAAGCTGAATTTGGTACAAAGAAAGTCCTTAGAAGCAGAAAGGACTGTAACAGAGAAGCTTTCTTCTTCCTTCTGGACATCTCTATAATTCCAATTCAGTGAGACCACTTGGGGTTGAGGAAATAAATTTTCAATGAATTTTCATCAAGACTACCAGGCAATCAACTACTCCATACTCCATAACTTGTTATTTGCAAGACAAAAAACACCCAGCTAGACATTCAGTCCAGAATGGTTTACAGAAATTCCTTTCTGTACAAAATAATTAATAAGAGATCAGAGCTGTTACCAATATCTTAGATTCCCCCACTGATGATATTTATTAGTTGAAAGTGCCCACTAATCAGGTGGGTGGGAAAGTTGAGTATAACAGGCTACATCTTTTTGTGACCTTTGATCAAAGGAGCCCCTGCTGTTCCCAGCGGTGATCTCAGTCTGTTTGGAAAGAAACAGTAAATGAGGCCTACCCACCATGAACTGAAATCAGTTTTTCAAGAAAAATCGAGTGAATTAATCTCAGTTTTAAAGAAATGCATATTTTCAAATGGAATGCTGCATTATTAAAGCTTCTAGACTAATGAGACTTGAAATAAGAAATTTTACAGCAATTAAATTTCAGCCTAGTCAATACAACTGTTATAATCTTACAGAAGCAACACATCATTCACTCTATTTTCTTTGTTTACATACTAAAATGTAGCGGTTTTTTAAACCTTGACTCACAAACAATAAGTGCATTTTTTTTCAGTCTGTGATGCCAGTTTCCCTGGTGAAAGGCTAGAATCTCCTAGGTTAGATGTACAAAAGCCTAGGAAACCAGAAGAAAAGAAAGTTTCCTTCTCTCTGGGTGATTTTTCCTTTAGAGTCAGCAAAATCAGAGCTGCCTATTGCTCTCATTATTTTATAGACTCATCTGGGCTTTGCTGAATCTTAGCGGAAGTGATACAGTAAGAAATAAACAATAAGGGTTTGCCTTGTCCTTATGTTCCAAATATTCCCCTGCTTCTAGGGTGGATCCTTAAAGGCATGTGAATATGCCTAGAATAACCATAGGAGTCTTAGGTTTGTATAGAAGAGCACAGTACAAATCAAAATAAGGGAAGGTGGGGTTTTTTGCAGCTAGAAGGATGCTCCTCAGAATTATATTGATAGGATCAGATATAGATAAAATTTATATAAGCAAATACATTCTGTATGCAAAGTAAGGGAAGTTAATAATGAAATAGCAAAACAGTATCTAATTTGCAACTGCAATAATTTTATGATTTTCAAACATGACAGACTCCTACAAATATAATTTCCAAAGACATTGCTAATACTTAGTTAAATAACTATTAACCAGAATGAAAACTGGAGGTATAAAAATCACATCTATAATTAATTAATGCTTTTTTTTTTTTTTTTTTTTGGTAGGTAGGTAGGTAGGTAACTTTTCTCTGTCAAGTAACTAAACTAAAACATAAAAAAAATAAAAAAATTAGATGTGGCTATAATGTCTTTGTAGATTACTATATTATTCTACGTGTTCAGTCTAGTTTGATAGACCTGGAATTGTACAGAGACATATACATCCATACAAAGCTTTTTCTCATCTGTGGCCATGAAGATTTTACTAGCAAATCATAAGCAAAGGCCAGCAGGGTCTTTTTTTCATTTTTTCAGGTATATGGCAGAATATTATAATGAAAATCTGCCATTGATCATGTTTCAGACTGGATATATAGTTTTCTTCTCTACTGCTGTTCATATCAAGCATATTCTGAGAACTATATGCCCTTATGAAAAGGAAGTCTATGATTTATAATCAGGTAATATTAGGGATCAGTTATTGCTTTTCACTGATTTCTTGACCTACATGCCTATACAAGTATTTGCATCACATTAGCTAGCTTGTTTGCTCTGAGGAAAGGCAAAAAAATTCCTCAGAAAGCTTCGTCCTTTGTACACTGTCACCAGGTATATCACTGAACAATCACTCCTCTCATTAGTGGCAATAAAAAAATCTCAAGGGTCCTCATTTTTCCATAGAGTGAAAATATAGATTTGAAATAAATTTCACATATAAAAAGGGCAGAGTGTTAAGAACACAAAGCTTCTGGGGTATGAGCCACATTTTGCACCCTGCTGTGATGATTTCATCAAACTTAGCTTGCTTGAAAAGAAATAGAATGTGTGCTGAAGTCTTAGATCTTTGACTGAAAAATGGTTTAATCGGGAAAAAGTTTTCAAAGGCACAGATGGAAGGCTGTAGTCACTTCCATTGACTTACTGCTTTGCTTTTAAAGCACTGCTTGTAGCATTCAGACGCTTTCTGGTTCGGGGAAAGTTGAGGCTTCAAGTCTCCTGGGTACAAATATCTACAAGGTATGAGATGACTGATAAAATAGAGACTTAGTTCAAATCAGACACTTTTCTGAAAGTTGATAGTCTTGCATCAGTTTGCTTTCCTCTTGGTTGGAGAGGATACTCATCTACTAATATACACTGATGCCCAGGTCATTAAATATTTACTGATAAAACTAATAAATATAAGCTCTTTTAAACCAGAAATATTGTTAATTATGTTAACTGTAGTGTGGTTGTTTATTTACAGAGATGAAAGATAATATTTTGAATTATGACTGTTATTTTTTATTTTATCTTGCAATGACTGTGTGGTTTGATATATTTGTAAATGAAGGTTATTCTGCTTTCTTGAGAAAAAGGCGCCAAGAAGTTCCATAATCAATCTGTTATAATATCCAGAATCAAAAATTCAGCACATGAACTTGTCATCATATCTCACTTACTGGAGCTACAATATATCAGTTGAATGATGTCAATGTGTTTGTAGGCTGGAAGGACATGGGGTTTGTATGGAAGGATTTGTTCAAATGTAGAATGATATACTTTTCACCTTGAAAAAAAAGGACAAAACACTATATATATGATTTTTTTTTTCATTTATGGAAACTTCATTTACTTCTTGCCTTTTGATCCAGAAAATCTTTTATGTTTTCTCAAGATTTTAATGCCTGCCTCTCTCAAACAGATGAAAAATCAAAGTAGAGTATTTGCAGAACATGAGTCTTGATGAGACAGTTTGAGTATGGGAGGTGTGTATTTGTGACTGCATACCATGCACTCAATATGTGTTCATAGATCACATCTCTAGTATCAACAGTTTAATGTACTTGATATGTCCTTTTATTGTTTTAAAGGACAAGTAAATACTTTTATTCTTAAACAATTCTGTTTATCTGTGTTCCCAGCTAATTCAAAGCATCAGTGCAGTGGATCAAGATGACTCAGCAGAAGGTCACCATTTTTACTTCTCATTGGCTCAGGAGGCCACAAACAACTCACATTTTACTGTCAAAGATAATCAAGGTGGTGTCATTGATGTAGCTCTTTAAGACCTTCCTAATAAAAAATGCATGCTTGTAGTGGTCCTCACACCACTCATTTTATAAAAATTTCCACTTAAATAGAAATTGTTGTTTTATATAAGAACATGTCATGAGGTGCATTTCAAACCAATAATTCAGTAATACTAAACAGTTTATTTTCCTTTTTCAGCCAAGTAACATAAACAGCAAAAGACAGTTTTATTTCAAGGAAAGAAAAAATTGCTGAAATGAAAAATACACTGGTATTCCTTAAAATTTATTTTCTTAATGTAGGATATGGTGGGTAATACCCACTTTCTTGTTAAAATCATCTATTTCTCTAAGAAACAAGATCACCAGAAAGAGAAGATTGCTGTTAATACAAGTCAGATATTTCATCACTTCAGCAAGACCAAAATTATAACTACTGATAAATACGAATATAATCTTATTTTCTAATATATTTTAAACTGCATATGCTGATTAATTATATCATAAAATGTTTTCTATATGTATTTTAATGTTATTCAGAACTGATATTGATTGAGACTCTTACAAAGAGTGATATAGAGGGATATCAAGCAAAACCTGTCTGAGGTGAAAACGTAAGTGCAATATCTGATGGAACTGCAGGGAGCATGACCGCTTAAAGTCAGTCTGCTGAGACCACAAAGAAGAGGTTCTTCAGAATCAGCTAAAGTACACATTGCTTTTATTGACTTTGTTAATTATTTGAATGTTCTGGCTAGGTGAATAAATCAATGGAAACAAGTTTTGGAAAGTTCAGACTATGTTAAATGGTAAACTACTTCTCTCAATATCGCCAAAGTTAAAGTTAATGTATTAATATCTGTTTCAATTCCCAGCTTCATTAACCTCTCACTCAGTGCCAGGAAGAGATAACTTGTTACATTAAGGTCAAACTGTGTACAAGCCGCAAACCTTTCCCACCTTTGCTCATTCTGCACAAAGTCCAAGCAGAGCCATGCACCAGGCGATACATCCTGTTCCCTGTGGTGGCTATTGATGGGGAAAAAACCCAACCCACCTTTTATAACATGGTAGGGTCAGCCCTCAGTCTCTCCCTGTCTGCTGCATTTCACAGAAATGGCTGGGTGAATTGGGATAATCCTAGGCAAAAGCAAAAGTGAGTCTACAGATCTGGAGCATTTTATCTCAGAGTTGTCTTCTGAATTATGACAAAAACCTAGAAGAACTTAAATGTGAGGGAGTTAACTTCAGTAAACTGTTTGGATTGATGTGTCATACAGATAATGGTAGAAAAGCTGGGTTTTTTTTTTCTACATACATGTACGTACACATGCAGTAATTCACCCTGCCATGAATAAAATTCTGACATTTAAACTTTTATAGATGTTTCTTTTTTCCATTATACACAGATTTAGACAGGGCTAATTTATTTTGCAGCAAGCTAAGTTTCAGGTTTGAATTAGTTGATAGGCAGCAGGAGCTGAATTTAAGCTGCTTACTGGGTTTGGTACAGAACTGGTTTCTAAATACTAAATACAGAGCAAGGGCAGACCCTATAGCAACTTTTCCCTAATTTAGACAGTAGGAACTCAGCTAGCTCCAGGTTTCGAGTCAGGGAAAGAAATAAAAGACTATTTTAGTGGACTTTTTTCTGCTTTCTCTTCTTTCGTTTGCCACTTGCTTTCTCTGTGTTCTGCCAGACACCTTTTTGAAGCTTTTTCATTGGTAAACTGTCTATATTTCATCTATGAACTGCTGGATTAGTAGCAGCTGGTTACATAGAACCATTTTAAGAACCAATTAGTTAGTCTGAGCAGGTGTCAGGTACTGAACATGGTGGGATTTTTTTTAGCTCTGAACAGTAGAAACAGAGCTCCTACATCAAATTTTATTATTGCCCCTGGAATACATATGTCAAAAATAAATGCAATTGTTCATGACTGACACAAAAAGCCCACCATATGTCAGTGCCTGGTATCACTTTTTAAACTTGGTTAATATATAGCTTTGCACAATACCATTGTTTTCAAATAAGTTGGATTCCACCTGAGTTTTATTGTTGTTAAAAAGTGATAAATGTATTTCATGCATAATAATTTATCTTCTAGATAACACCGCTGGAATTTTCACAGCAAAAAGTGGCTTTAGAAGGCAAGAGCAGTTTTCTTTCTACTTGCCAATCTTAATTCTGGATAATGGAACCCCACCACTGACGAGCACAAATACCCTCACTATCACTGTCTGTGACTGTGACACTGAAGTTAACACCTTCTACTGTCGATATGGAGCTTTCATGTATGCCATCGGTCTCAGCACAGAAGCTTTAGTTGCTGTTTTGGCTTGCATACTAATACTCCTAGGTAAGCATGAGTAAGAGAAATGACTTTGTTTCCTTTTACAGTAGGCTTGATTAAGTGACAAATACGTTCCCTTGACTGGAAGCCTGGAATTGCTGTGCTATTGAGAAAAAATGCAATAAGGGAAATGTTTCATTTCTTTTCTGTTTTCTTAACTATAATTTACACACACACACACACACACACACACACCAGCTTTCACTAAAGTTTGAACTCTAACACAATGTCCTAAAAGTTGCCTTTCATTGAGTCATGGTCCTACTTGTCTGTATTGGTCCAAAGTCTATACTGAGCCCAGGTAAAACTGAAGACAACATTACACAAGAAAATTGGTTAGCATAAGAATATATTAGAAGGAGCAGTACCTTACTTATTCTGCCTTAGGTATGCCAAATGTAGAGCTAAGATCAACACAAAATAATAAAAGAAAAAGAGAATCTGATACTCTCAGAAAGCAACTCCAGAAACACACAGGAAGTTTCTCTGTCAATTAATAAGGTTGCATCTCCAGACAGCCGTTTCTCCAAATGTTGTGCATCTCCTTTTTCCTCTCACAGGACACCAAATTAACCTCCATTACATTTGGGAGCCTGTGGATGTGAAAAGTGGGTTTGAGAGTGTTTTAAATGCCCAGGAGTTGCGCTTGTGCCTCTGCAGAGGGTCATGCATAGCTGGCACATGGCACTCAAAACCAGACCAACTAGCCAAGGCTCGCTGTTCCTGTACTGCATGGGGCTATGGCTGCTGCACAACTTATTGGAGTGGCAGCACTCAGGGAAAACACTTCGCTTGGTGAAGCATACAGCTATTGCTGCTAAAAGGCATTTTCTTTTTTTCAGCAAAAAGACATTCCTGGAGTGCTCAATGAGTGATTTAATGACACTGACACATTATAACAGCAGGCACGCTGAACTAATCATTCCCCAAAGGCTAAATATCCATCCTGAAATTCTATAACTGTCTGAATTAGTGAGGTTATGGTATGGTAGCTTCTGAGGCCAGGAAAGAAAGAGAAGTGATAGAGCTGAGCAGGTTTGTTTTCCAAGGCAAAATGACTGACCTTAGAGCTTGGTCACTTATGGTCGTCATAGGCCTCAAGACCAAATTCAAGCTGATGCCAACAAAGTAACAGGGAAAGACTTCCAAATCCTTGTTGCCTGTGTAATAATATGGCATACTGATATTATGCCATATAGCAGTATATTTCATACAGCGTCATATCTAAAAATACCCCAAAACAATTGGTGGATTATGCTAGTAAAACCATATTTCCACTAACGAAACTGCAAGCAAACAACTCCAAAGCAAGAAAATGGTGATAAAATCAGGATTTCATTAAGCAGTGTGATATCAAAACATCATTATAAATTGTGCAAACCTAACATAAATTGGTTTTCAACAAAATTCTAAAAAAAAAAA